GTTTCTTTGCAAATGTCCAGGTGTGGGAAGATGGCTCGCTTAAGCATGGTGGCACAGAAGAAACACACACACACACACACACCCGTGTGGAGCCCTGAGCAAGGAGCTTCACTGCAGCAGTGTCACACATACGTCTGAGAGCACAGACAAGTGATAAGAGTAAAGTTGATTGGGGTATGTTTAGATGCAGGGAAAGGGTTGACTTTGTTCACCCGAACGGCATCCTTCAAGGCACCTCTGACCATTCTTGGACCAATGCACTGCTCCTCCTCAGCGAGGTGTGCTTTAGCTAAGATGGGCAAAGCATGCATGCGATATGCCGCATTTCTCTACACCAAGAAGACAGAGCATCACTTGCTGATTGGGGCATGTTTAGATGCAGGGAAAGGGTTGACTCTGTTCACCCGAACTGCATCCTTCAAGGCACCTCTGACTATTCTTAGACCAATGCACTGCTCCTCCTGAGCGAGGTGTGCTTTAGCTAAGATGGGCAAAGCACGCAAGCGATATGCCACATTTCTCTAAGCACCTTGTCAGTTACCTCAGACTGTGGTAATTGGAAGGCAATACTGTATTCCACCTAGAGTCCCAAATTTGTAGTCCGTATGAGCCATTTTATTTATAAATTGCTTTGTAAACTTCTTTGAGAAGGTAAGCCAGGATACTAGCTGGTTACACTTGGGGCTCCCTGTTCAAGGACCTCTTCATCAATTAGAAAAGTTCTGCTGGGGTGGCACAGATCAGATGCAAAAGTGTTTGAGAAACAGCGTTTCTTTGTCACTATATAACTACTGCAGAGTTGGCCTTCAGCCTGTGTTCAGTCAGATACATGCCACATCCCCCCTTCCCCCCTGCCTGCATTTTAGTCACCATCCCATCTGTTTCCTTAGCCTGTGTCAGTGGTCCTTTATATACCAGGAAGCCAATCCGGATCTCGTCAGCCAGACAAAATGTCTAAGAGTGTGCTTGCTTGGGTAGGGAAGTTAAATTTTCAGAGGTGTGGGGGATTTGGGGGGAAATTGGTATGTATTCATGGACTTACTGAGTACTTATCAGCTGTGCCCCAGGGGACAATAGTATACTGAAAAGAGCTAGGATACCTTCAACTGGGGGAAGGACTGAGTGTGGGTAACCTTCTCTAGCTCCCTTGCCTGGCATGTTCTGACCTCACAGCTACATGTTCTTTGCTCCAAACCATAAGAATAGGGATGCCTGTTCCTTTCCCCTGTTGTGTAACCTGCCCATTTCAGTGTACAATCAATAAAACAAAGGTGGTTGCTGTGCACTTCCATGAGGTAAAGAGGCACATGGGGGGAGGGGATGCAAAGCTACTGTCCCCCGTTGGGGTCTCTCTGTGATTGTATTTCTGTCCCTTCATTATGACCAGCCCTGTCCTCAGATCTGTCTCTTGGCTATACTAGAGTCTGATGGAATGTTGAGGAAACATTTGGGGAGGAGCCATAGTTTAGGGGTGGAGCATCTGCTTTGTGTGCAGAAGGTCCATCCCTGGCATCTCCAGTTAAAGGGATTAGATATTAGGTGATAGTCTTAATACCTGGGAACCTGGACAGGCATGGCCAGTTAGAGTAGACAGTAATGACCCTTGATAAATCAATGGTGTGATTCAGAGTAAGGCAGATCCATGTGTTCAAACCAGTGTGTGTATTTTTTTTAAAAGGTGGAATGTAGTAGTCACCAGTCACATTTTACTGTTTATATTATATATGTTGGGGGAAACTATAGGAATATGTTCTTTGTTACAGCGGCTGCTGTTCCAAAAAACCTTCAATTCTCAGCAGCTAGTCCACATTACCATCATCAACCTGTTTCAGCTGCATCACTTGCGAGACTTCAGCAATGAGACTGAGCAGCACAGTTACAGCCAAGATGAGCAGCTCTGTTGGACGCAACTGCTGGCTCTCTTCAGTAAGTACCGAAACTGCCACAGCTCATCTGTGCAAGGGCAGATGGGTTTCCTAGCTGAGGCTGCTGGGCTTGTAAGATGACGTTTTGTCCCGGGGTGGGCTGCAAGAGAAGGAGCTGCTGTACTTGGAGCTGCTCTAAGTTAACGAGTGGGAGTGATGGCAAGCATTACTTTCCAGCAAGCTGACGCAAATAAGGGTTCCTGTTGTATGAGAGAAATGTTGAGCTACTTGAGGGGCTGCTCAACAAGCAGTGCCCTTTGTTTGGTGTAGTGGTTAAGTGTGCGGACTCTAATCTGGGAGAACCGGGTTTGATTCCCCACTCCTCCACTTGCAGCTCCTGGATGACCTTGGGCAAGCCATAGTTCTGACAAGAGCTGTCCTTGAAAGGGCAGTTCTTGAAAGAGCTCTCTCAACCCCAACTACCTCACAGGGTGTCTGTTGTGGGGAGGGGAAAGGAAGGAGTTTGTAAGCCGCTCTGAGACTCCGAGTGAAGGGCGGCATGTAAATCCAATCTCTTCTTCTCTTCTCCTTCTTTATTGTTTCTACTGATTCCTTTTGTCGTTACCTTTCTTATACGGTATCAGCTATTTCTGAGTTGCTGTTTTTTGCTGCCCCTTAATATAAAGATGTGTGGCTGGAACAGCAGCAACTTGTTTCTCTCCTTCCCTCCCGGTAACTGGGTGTAAAGTGTGTCAGGGGAGGGGAGCATGTCGGCTTTCTGGCAACACTGTCCAGTTCCATAGACAGGCTGACTTTCCCCACCATAATGTATTTGCTGAGCTGCCTTGCTGACCCAGTGCGGGATTTGTCTCATGACAGTCTGTTGATGGAGACTTAACCTGTTTAATTTCTGTGATCCGTTGTTCCTTTCTCGCCACTCTCATTGTTATCCCCAGAGAACAAGTTCTGTAGAACAATGTCCCTTTTTGTTTGAACTGTCCTCATTCTCAACATAAAGTAGTAGGGTCTCCCTTTGTATAGCGGCAGCATAGCTATGCACCGTGGAAGAACTCCATATCTCTTCTCCGCAGTGTCTTTCCTTGGAATCCTGTGCAAGTGTCCACTCCAGAACGATTACCAGGAAGAGTCTTGGGGTTCTTATCCCCTTCCTGCTCTCAAAGTCTCAATGGACTGGCTGAAACTTAGACCCAGTGTGTTTCAGGAGTCTGTAGTCGACGAGCGCCAATAGTGAGTCTTGATTTTATTTCATAATCCTTTTTTGTCGTTCACTTGGGCAAAGCAAGCTACCAACTAAAAATTTGTGATAGAAGAATGTGAGCATTTCAGTGAAAGCTCGTATAGTGTAGTGGCCAAGACAAAAGTATGAACCAGAAGCCGTTGTGCAGCTCTTGCCCTTTTCCTGAACTGTAGGTGATCTAAGGCAAGATCTCTTACTATCCCCCATTGGCCAATGGAGCTGAGTAATACAGTCCTAGGGGCAAGGGAAGGAGGAAGGCGAAGGAACAAACAAAGCAGAAAAGCAAGCCCATAACTTTTATTGGACACCACTGCAGGAGCATTGGTGCAGTGTAGGGCATAGATCCAGCACTGGTCAACTTGCTTGTTGGCCAATGAGCCAACCATCCACCCAGCCCACCTGCTGGGGAGAAGTGTGGAATATCAAGTCCTGCAGTCCCACATGGGTGCAAACCACAGCATGGTTCCCCTGCCTTCTGAGGGGGAGAGCTACCCAGCAGCTCCTGAGCTGAGCATATTGCTAAACTGTCCCACCCTTAATATTCCTTATAGGGATCCTCACACCAGGGGATGTAGGCATGCAGGTACCACCTCTCCTCAAAATTGGATCTGGCCTAATTCCAGACTGCCACTAGAGATGGGTGCAGTGTCCAACTCCCATCAATGTCCAGCTATGCCCAAGAAAGAAGGCAGTTGCGAATGCCATGCAGCCAAATGTCCTGACCCCATTCGGATAGATGCACCCTGTCTGCCAGGAAGAGAGCTTTCCTGTCTGAAGCAAATCGCCGGATGATGGAGCCACCTGTTGCCTCCACGAACTGCCCCACTGATTTTCTTCCTTCCTTCCCTGCAACATCGATTTTGTCCTGTGAGATGGCCCTGTGCCACTCACACCGTTTCAATAAGTCCAGCCAGAATAGCTGTGTGTCCAGCAGGTGGGAAATGACAATCCAAAGGTCCATCTCCAGGGTCATAGAAAGATCCAGTCCTTTCCTGCTGGTGAGGTTACTTTTGCCCAGCTGGAGGATCAAGGTGTAAAGAACTTTGGTTCTCTTAAAATTCTGTTCTGATTCAGAGTTTGGTTCAGGCTTCGAATGTGGCCTGCTTGTGAATTAAATAGAGTCCAAAACTGCTTTGCTGAGGAAGAACATTGTGACCTTGTACAGCCAAGATAACAGCACCTGCAGAAGAGAGTGTGAAGCCTGTTACTGGCTTTCCAATTAGCCACATTCCTTTCAGTTAGGTCCATAATTTGCACTTGTGGGAAAGGGGCCCAGCCTAACTGCAGATTGGCTTTCTTCCTTCTTCCCAGGTCAGACCACAGTTTATGTCACCTGTTCAGCCATTGGTTTAACACTTGGGTTATGTGCCATCACTAAAAGACCTTATTGGTCCATAGGCCTGGAACCATGAGGGTCCCTTTACCCATAAAGACATGGGATTCTAGTCTAGCCTCAGCTTGATGATGGGTACTCAAAGACCTAGCCTTGTAGACACCTTCATGCTCACTTTCAGCCATCTTGGATACTTGCTTGCATGGGCCATACAACTCCAGCCTGTGGTGACTTGGGAGTAGAGCCACTTTGGAGCATGGGAACTTCCATGTGAGAATGGGTAATATCTTGTAACTTGGAACCAATGTATTACAGGTTTAGTTAGCCTTTAAATCTCTAGGTTTGTTGTTTTATCCTCACAGCCTTTTGTTCCTGTTAGAATTATCCTTGCACCTTAATAAAGATATATTTTAATTTCCTTTGTGGTTATTTGCTTTCACAGTCCTCAATTTTAAATTCAGAACCTAGACTGGCTGGCCACCTACCAGTGTAACTTGTCTTTTGTGAGAAACTCCTTCTGTGAGCCTATCTTGCAGAGTGAACTTTCTGATTTAGACCCAGGAGAGTTAGGCTGATTCTGCATTGGCTTTTCCCTCCATTGTTTTACGAAACCCACATTGGAAGAGAAATTCCCCTCTGCATTGCATGCTGCTTTCACTTCCTTTGTCCATCGGATTTTATGGTAGCTTCCACACTCCATGTCACTTTCAAGTTCTTTGATTGTCGGATTTTATTGTATCTTCTGCATAGATTTATGGCCGTTCAGGGGTGACTTTGCAGTCAGTATGGCATTGCCCCGAAGTATTTGAATGTGGTTTTGAGCTGTACTTTTTCCTCCCAGTTGAGAAAATGTGGAGCAAATGCTAGGTGCAGAATCACCCATAGAAGCTTTGCCCTTTGGCTTCTGATTACTGGGTTAATTAAAGGGGCTGGTGGCAGACTACCGGACAAGTGTGTGAACAGTCGCACCCCGGGTTTTTTTGTGTGTAATTTTGTGTTGCAGCCCTGTAACAAAAGGTGTTTGTCCTGGGCTAGGCTAAATGACCTTTTAGCACAGGGCATTTGGGGGACCGTAACTATAGTTGACACCAGAGCATCCCAATGTATTCTCCTGCATTTGAACCAAGAGATCCTGAGCCGTTTCCCCTCCTGACAAAGCTGCATAGATCCTGGGCCATGTATAGTGCTGTGGCCCATGATCCTGACAGACCTGTGCCACCTTGCTGGAACTAAAAAAAAAGGTGTTAGGGAAGGGAGCTGGCAGAAGGGCCAATATAGGTCTGAAGGCAGTGGGCTTCTGTTGGTTGACAGCGTGTATGTGAGCAGGGAGAGCCTAAAATCTGTAGCCACAGTGGCTGCTTCTATGCGAAAGGAGTGCACCCCAAAGTCCCCAGGATGGAGGCTAAGGGGGCTAAGCTAATCTGCGTGGCACTGGAGAATTGGAACCTGGTGAGGAAGGCCTCATCTTGTGGATGAGAGGGAGCCAGGAATGGGAGGCCTCAAAGCTAGATACTCTTTGATCACTTGGACTGACCAAGACTGTCCCCTGGGAGCAGCCTGGAGGCGCATGCAGGCCCCACACCCTGCCACCTGAGGGCCCATCCCAAGTGGTCACGGCATGAAACCGAGAGTAATTTGCTAGTGCGGAAAGCCCTGTAGAAGGCCAGTATGAATGCGGCCTGGAAATAGGTGATCTCAAGCTACAACCAGCAAATTGCACAGCTCCTCTGAGAAGGGGTCGGGGTGGTGGTTTGCATCAGAGTCAACACCTGGAACCTCTCCTCCTGGAAAGTGAGACAAGGCATCTGCATGGGCATTTGTCATTATCAGCGCCTGCCATATACCGTGCTGAGAAAGAGATGTTAGCAGACTAGAGCAAACCTGTGCACCAGCCACATAACCCATTCAGAGCGTGAGATCTGATAGTTAATAACCCTGATCATGGCCCGCCTATTCCTGAAAAAGTCTTCCAGATGGTGACTGCAACCCAGGATGGGGAAAAACTCAAGGAAGGGGAAGTCCCTTTAAGTTCTGGTCCCAGCCCAGTGAGGAAGCCAACACTGGGCACACCAGCATTCTGTGATGTTAAGATGCCCAAGGAGTGTGTGGAGCTCCCTCAGTGTGCTCTTTTTGCTGGAGGGGGCCAACAGCTTGTCGTTTGGCAGGCAGGAGGTGCTGTGGACAGAATCCAGTAGGATCCCTAAGTAAGTTAGTTGGGTGGCCAAGCCCTTAGTCGTATTGTGGGCCAAGGGCACACCCAGCTTAGCTGCCAAGGCCTGGAAAGAAGCCATATGGGATGTGCAGCCAGATTTTCAGGTGGGCCAGTGAAGAGGAAGTCATCCAGGTGGTGTGTGACAAAAGGGGATTGGGTGCAGTCCTTGCCAGCCCATTCCAAAAACATGCTCAGGCCTTGAAGCCTGCACAAGGCCACCAGGCAGCCCATGAGCATGGATTTATCCCACATACCACTGGCCTTCAGGGCTGCAGCTATGTAGGGGTGGCGCCCCCTCCTGAATCCTACAGTGCCCTACCCCAGGAGGTGTGCCACGCTCCTTATACTGGCTGCCCCCCAGTGGGGGCTGGCGCAGCCACAGTTGCACCCATCCAAGACCCACCCCCGGGCTTGTACAGATGGCTGCCAGGCTCACAAAGGGTGTGGCGAGCAGGCTGTGGTTCTGCAAATGGCTGCCAGGCTTGCATGGGGGGAGGGACCACTGTTGAGTGGGCTGCAGCCTCCAACCCGACTCCTGGCTCTGCTCTCTCCCTCCCCTGCTCTCTCCCTCCCCGCGGGGCCTTTGTCTGCCTGGAGTTTTACGGGTCTCCACAGGAACCCCTGCTCTGCCTGCCCAGAGACTGAGTGTGGCTGCAGCCTGCAGGTCAGCCAGGCCTTCCCAGCAGCAAGAAAAAACTCCCGGGATGGCTCTGCTTCTTCCAGAGGTGGCTGGATTGAACTGGTGGGGTTGTTGTCACCTGTTCTTGACCGTCACAAGATCCCACCTGCTCAGCAGTGGTCTCCTCTTCTGGTGGTTTTTCATCCCTGGGGAACCTTCCCTTCCGTTCTTTCCTGGCGATCTGGAAAGCAGGAGAGGAGGTCTTCCTCCAAGATGGGGGTGGAGGAAGGGGGAGCCTGCCTTTTCCAACTGGTTTGGGAACCAGATTGGCAGGGCCTTCTCCGCGGATGTGGTGCGTTGCAGTTTTAGAGGTGGCACTGGAAAGATCTCCATCCTAAGGTAGTGGGGGTGGCGCTAGGAGAGCGCTGTCCTATTTTTATTTTATTTTACTTATTTTTGTGACTTCAGAAGTGATGTCATCCCCCCCAGTGCCCCACCCCAAATTGTCTCGCTGCGGGGCTGCTGGCCATACAACTTGAGCAAAAATCCTCAGATTGCACTGGCAGCATCCAGAAAGCTGATTGCACGTTACACCTGCCCATAAGGGCAGCAGGACAGCACAAGGCTGACAGTATGATCAAAAGACATACATCATACCTAGCAAAGCTCTTGTGAGATGGCATTGTTGGCGAATGGCCCTTTTGGGTAGGAGAGGTGGTGGATCAGCCTGAATTCACCCAAGGCCTTCTTGGGAGCCACCTCCAGGGGTGACACCCTTAGGTTCAGAATGGGGGGAACTGAAGGGGCCTGCAACCCTGCTGGCAGCACACACTCCCTGGCAACTTGAGCTGTGACTACTTCGGGCATGTTGTGGGCAGATTTCAAGTTTCCCAAGTCTGTGGGAGCCCTGGGGCAACACCTGTCAAGGAGAAAGTGGGCAGTAGCTCAGTTGGGGTAATGGTCTAGTAAGAGGTGGATGGGTAAAAGCAAGCCCAAGGGTGGTGGTTGGGGGAACATACCTGACTGCCCCATCCTCTTAGCTGACGGCTGTGGCAGATGGTCGGCTGCAGGTATGGTGGCATTTGCCCTGGTTACATTCCCAGTACACTCATTGGGCTGAATTTCGTTTGAGGCCCCCCCCCCCACCATCCTGGATGGGTTGGACCTGCCCTTGATGTGGGGGTCCTACAATTAGCAGCCACAACTTATCATTACTCAGGTCCCACCTGGCCATGGGGCTGTGAGACACCCACTTATGGGATGCCTCATTGTAGTCGATGGTTGTGGTATCACCCACCGGGGCCCATGCCTGTAAAACATTCCACAGATTATTGGTTTAGTGGCAGCAGCAGTCAAGATAAATGGAAGGTGTACCCTGCCAACCAGTTATGGAATGTGTGTTCCACCTGTCCCTTATTGTCCCTTTTTTTTGTCCTGCCTGGGCCCACCCTTGCCCTCCGGGGGGGGGGGCAGATCTTTTCGAACGGGTGTGTGTGCCCCATGGCCGCATCCCTTAGTGATTGGCTCAAATCCTAGGTGGTTGGGGGTACTGTTTCCTCTAACCTGTGTTCGTTTGAGCTAGCTCACAGTTTTCTAGCCTCCAGCTCGCACATTTTTGTCTTAGCTCAGGAAGGATGGCTCCAGAGCAAACTAATTTATGCAGTAGCCAAATGGCTCGCTCACAACTTTAATGCCAGTAGCTCACAAAGTAGAACTTTTGCTCACAAGACTCTGCAGCTTAGAGGGAGCATTGGCTGTAGTTCAGGGAGAGTCAGTCTTCCTGTTTCAAAATGCTGCACTGATTGTAACCAGGTGGGCTGACAATCACTTGGCTCCCATCTCCATAGAAACCTGTCTCAGACTGACCCACAACTCTACTTCCTTCAGCAAGGAAAAGCAGCAGTCATTCTGCTTAATGCTTGCATGCAGCGATCTGATTTTTACTTCAAGTGTTCCTCACTATCTTCCCTTCCCGTTTTCAAGTCCCTCCAAACAGCTGAAGGAGACAAAAGGCATGTTTTGTGCTAGTTGTATTCAAGACCTTCTGCTCATTAGTCTAATCTCGGTCTTTCAGGATAGTGTCAACCACCTGTACTGTTCAGTACCTGATCTGTGCAGCCTGAATTAGCCTGTACACTGTTCTTCACATCTGAATTTGGAGGTTCTTAATAGAGCTTTTGCTATATAGTAGACACCACTTAATTAGTATGGGGTTATAGCAAGTGCCTACTTGTTATGGACAAAAAAATTACCTGTAGTGCAATTCAGTAATTTTAGACTCTGGACTTAATGATTTTCTGCCTCTCCCTTTAGATGGTAATGTATCTTTCAAGGATCAGTCTGCTTTCTCCCCCCCCTCCCCCAAGCCCCTGAACTGGGGCCAAGGACTCTAATCCCAAATCTGGCCCTGCTGGCATCACTGTTCATTATGCCCCCAGGAAGCAAATTAATTCCATATTTCATCCAAATAAATATGGAACCATGGAGAAGTACAGGTACTTCCAAGCTGCCCCGTTGTCATCTCTTGACTTGAACAGTCTGCCGGAGGAGGACATAGTGTAGGTTGGCAGTGGCTGCTCAAGTTAAGCATCAGGTGAAAACAACTGCTGCTAATTTTTCCGTTAGCTGTCCGCCCAGCTCCTCAGGCCTGGAAGAGACCACGTGTCAGAAAAGACTGGGGCTTGCTGGCACTTTACGATCAATGGGGGAAATGAAGTGTTGTACATCCAAGCTGTTGGAGATCTAATGATTTTGGACAATGTGGGAAGTGCCAGGGACTTCTCAGGAGTTCTTTAGAAGATCACTGTAGTTCCTTAGAAGACTGTACATTAGGGTGCTTGACTTCCAAAGGAATACTTACCTTTTCTGGCTCCATCCCAAAGGAGAAATCTGCCATTTTTTGTTGTTGTTGTCTGCCCATCCATGCTTGCAGATGTTGGTTTACAAGGAAAGCCAGTTGGCAGTGAACTAAGGGAGAGTGAAAAGGCGTTATTCTAATGCGGGATGAGTGATGACAGCTTTATCAGACATCTCATAAAATGCAACTACGACTTTAACATTTATTTAGGTCAAACACTGAGGCGACATGATTCTAAGGTCCTTGCCAGATACAGAGCTGGTGCATAACAGCATGGGTGCTAGGAAAAAAAAGAATGAGCGAGGAAGTGAGTTTCTTTTTTAAAGACAAAGAACTGGATACATCTTGATGGAAGTGCAGTGGAGGGGAGGCTGTTCAGGCACAGTGAGAAAGCGTCGTAGAAAGGAAGAGTGAGGTGCATGAGAGAAACCACTGGCATGTTGCATAAATGTAAAAACGTGCCTGTTCTTGATCCTCAGTATTTGGCCATGGCTGATCTCCCTTCTAAACAGTTTCCAACCTCATGAGGAAGACCTCTCCTGCCCAAATGGTAAGTATATCTAGTAGTCCATAAAATATACAGTTGAGTGAATGGTTGGGCCGGGGGAAGAACAAAACATATTCTTCGGCATTAGTGCACTGTTTTGCTTTTTGATACCATTGATTCCCCCCCACACACACACACAACTCGTAGATACTGTTTTCAGTACCACTTCACCCCTTTCCTTGCCCTAACTCTGCTTGTTCATGTGGCTTTCTAGCCTGACTGCAGTTTAATCAACATACGTGATGGGAGACATTACGCTGCCCCATCAGGCATCATGATGTTATGGACCACACTGTACAAAAGCGTCTGGATTACCACAGCCCATCTGACGAAGTGACAGTGTGGCCCATTAAGACTAGGGCAAGAAAGGAACAGAGTGGCACCAAGAAGCAGCCACTGAGAACAGATTACTTTAATAGGGAGCTTTGGTCAAACAGGCATTTTTAAATAATTTTGCTGCCATCAGACTCTCTCTTATCAAAGTGAGTCTTAATTATTTATGAACCTCCTTTTGGAAGTAACTTTATTCCATTCTACATTAACAAGTCTTGGGGGGGGGAGATACATGTGAATAATACTTCTATGCATTTCTGTGGCTGTCCCTTTGTAGAGCACGTGTTTAATCCTTGTTATCAGAAATCTGTGGGACATCAAAGTGCTTAACTTTGGTTAGGTTTAATAATAATGGGCAATTCCTGCAGTTATTCATATTTCCCCCTGTCTGGTTGTTCACTAGCAACTCCACTTCCAGAGGAGTTTGAGCTGCAGGGATTCCTCGCTCTGAGACCTTCCTTCAGGTGAGTGGCTTTTGGAGATAGTGATTTATCCATCAGTACTTGTTAAGCCGTTTTGAATAAGCTGTCATTACCAGTTTTGTGGTGTCCATGTTTATTTCTCCGCTCTCCTCTCCATCACAGTCAGCTCTTAGGATTCCACTTCTGAAAAGATGGAAAGTACATCTGACAGGGAGAAGATCTCTGTAGGCAGCATGTTCCTCCTCCTTACCAAAAGAAAATTTCTCCCTTCCAAACTGATAGAGCTTTTTGGTTTGACAAAGCATCTGTCCATGTATCTGCAGATATACGAGATATACGCATTTACCCCTGGCCTGGATAGCCCAAGATAGCCCAATTTCATCAGATCTTGGAAGCTAAGCCCCCAGCTAGTATTTCAGTGGTAGACCTCCAAGGAATACTGCGGTCATGACATGAAGGCAGGCAGTGGCAAACCACCTCTGAACGTCTCCTGCCTTGAAAACCCAATGGGGTCTCCATAAGTCGGCTGTGACTTGACAGCAAAATAAATAAAAAGATATATATGAGATCAGTCTAGGGGGAAAGCTATAACGCCTTGAGGTACAAATTTGGGGGGGGGGTGAGGCGAGAATCTTTTATCGGGAGGGCAGATGAGTACAGTGGTAGTCAGCCCATCATTATTTATTTATTATTTATACTTTATTCATTATTTACCAATTTTCTCCTTGAGAAAGTGGATTACATGATAGAGAAAATTGCAGTCAAACCGTATGAGAGATCTAATAAAAATGCAATAGGACTAGGCATATAGAAATGCAAAAATGTATCAAACATGCTATGTCAAGCAATGCAGAAAGTGGGATTACCAGAAATGAAAACAATGCTGTAAGAGCGTGATAGAACATACGACAAATCAATAATCTATAGCCTACACTGTGGAATAGAGTACAGTGCTGTTCTGTATAAGCTTTATAAAAATGCCCTCCCAAGCAACAGCTTTACATAGTTTGCAGAATTAAAGAAGTGTGAGAGCCTTCTTCCAGTTACCGAAACCTGAAACTATAAATTCAACCTTCTTTTCTCTGTAAATCCCTAACTCAAGGCTTCTAACAGTGCCACACAAAACCCCTGCAAGCTTTTAAAATCAGGACTCTTCAGCCCTGCTAACTGCTAATTCTGTTCTAGCCAAATGCATAGAGAATTCTCAACTCCTTCCTTTTTACAAAGAAAATTTACACCTGAAAGATGTGCAACAGATTTCACACCAACTTGTAATGTTGACCGGAGGGCCGTGACAAATGATTGATGGGGCAATGCCCCCTGTTGTACCACTGTGGCTACGGGCCAGGGGGAGGGGGAGTAGCCATGCTAGTCTGTTGGTGCCAAAACAAGAGCCTTGTGGCACCTTAAACGCTAGCAAATGTGTTGTGGTGCAGACTTTCCCTGAGCCAGAGTTTACTTCATCTGGTGCATGATGTAAAAAAAATAATATGAACATAAAATTTTGTCATTTTCTCCTTATATGCACATTTCACTTTCCCATTCACTGCAGGCAGTGATAAAAGTGACACACACCCACACCCAAACAGTGTCGGAGTATGCACTGCAACCCCCACTTGTAGTGTTTTCTTTCTGTTTTGGCAGAGGAAAATATTTAATTAAGTGTAGTTTTTTCCATGACCTACTTTGGGGTCCGTTCAATCCCCATGCTGGATTAGTAAAGTGTATTTAGGGAAACTTACTTTCATTAGTGAGCTAGTATTTCCAGTCTCTATTGAGACCAAGCCTGAGTGCTTCAGATCTACATATGAACCCCCTCTGGATTCTCCTTTTTGAAACTTCTTTGCTGAAATGAGGTGCATCTCAATACAGTTGCAACCTTATCCCACTGGTTGAAGTGTTTCCGTTTCGATGTCTGTTTATTTTATGTCCATTTGTGATAGCTTAGCAGGATCTCTGTACTTAAATGTGTGTGACACATCTTATATTATGCACCCCCCAAAAAAATGTTTGAGATCCGTTCCTATGCCATTCATTTTTATGCTTTCATGTTGACATGATAATGACTTGAAGTGAATGATCAAGGGTGAGACAGAGAAAACGTGACATGAGAAAGAGGGTGAAGGAGGTGGTGATGGTTCTGTGGTTGGCTTAAAGTAGTAATTGACAACTGGAGGTTTTGAGGCCCAGTCTGGGTCTCTCGGGCAAGAGGGTATGTATGGAGAGGGCCAGTGATGGCAGCATTGCTGGCAGCCCACTTTGGCCATGTTGTAAAACTAGATGCCGGCCTAGGCAATACGAAACTGGATGGCATAATACTGGTTTCAAACATCAAAAATTTGGCAGCAGTTGAGAGGAATAGTGGCTGTTTATCAGGCCAGCAGAGGGAATGAAGCATCTGTAGCAAAGCAGTCAAGGAATTTGCTGCACTAAGGTTTTTTGTTTGTTTGTTTTGTTTTTGCTGAGTGAAGTTGCATAATCTTTCTTTTTTAGGTGGTTCTTATAATCCTGGTTATGCTTCATTCTGGGTTCTAGAGCAACAGGATTTTTGAGAGAGGCTATCTAGACTCTATCCAGTGTACATCAGGACCAGGTCTTGCCTCATGCACTTCCTTGCTCCTGTCATGGAGAGAAATTACCAAGTGAATAGGGAGATACAGATACTAGCCTGTAGAGTTAACAGGCTCCCATATTGGAAAACATGCACAATCTTTCTGGTTTGATAGGAGGGAAGCCATAGAAGGGTTGGGGAATGGGGAAGCCTGAGGACTTCTCATGGCGCATCCCTGCGTGTCGAACCTTGGGGACACTTTTTTGTCTGGCCCCCCAAGCCCTGAGCATTACAAATAGGTTTAAGGTTGATTATAAAGGATCTTGTCATTTAAGGGAAGTGGGTTAAGGAAAGTCCCCAACTGCAAAGGTGTGAGAAGATTTTGTTCCTTGCTAGGAAACACATTCATATCTCACAGGCAGTTGTCTAAAGTAAAGCTACCTTAAAATAGAAAAAAGTTAGAATTCTTTGTGTACAATTTTATACTAAAAATGAGACGTGCAGTAACATTATCTTCACCACTGTATCATTAGTGTTCTCTCATGTGTCTCTTTGTGTCTGGTTTATAGCCCGACTTTTCTTTCTCTGTTTTATGTTAACATAACTAGGAACTTAGATTTCTCCAAAGGCCATCAAGGGATTACTGGAGACAAAGAAGGGCAGCATCGGCGTCTACGGCAACAGCGCCTGATCTTCACGGGCAAGTGGATTGCTGACAACCAGCCAAGGTATCGGCACAGCTGCTGGCATCATCCCTCGCCCTCCTGTGCGTGATGTGTCTGCTGCTTGGTGGCGATGTGCTTGTTGATAATGACAGGTGTTGAAAATGTGCTTGCAGGACATTATATTTGACACTGTGAAAGGCAGTGTGTGGGAGTGTGTTTGTCACACTAGGCACTTAGTGAAGTGTATGTGTACCCATTTTAAAAAGCGAGCAGCCTGTTTAGCATGCAATGATGGAAATGTGCCTTGAGTTTGTAGGGCTGCAGTGTGCGTATCAGTTGGATAGCCATCGGTGAAGGCCATTGTCAGGCTGTCTTATACACTGTTTTATTGGTCCGTCTAGGATAGTATTGTCTGACTCACAGTAACTCTCCAAAGTCACAAGTTCCCACCTCTGACACCTGAAATCTTTTAATTGGAAGTTCTGGGAATCGAGCCTGGGGTTCACATGGGCAAAGTGTGTTTTATTGCTGTGTTACAATGGTTGTATCTAGATACTTTATCGCAGTAACCATTACCTCCTAATGTGAAAATTTAACACTCTGCTATTGTAAAAAATCTTGGGAACCAAAAGAACTGAAAAACACATCTGTAATGTGGTGACAAATGCTGCATTCAGTATGATGGCTTAACTGGGTTCTGTTCTTATGGGTTTCTGTCCAAACAAAAGTAAAGCCATAGTTGGAGGAAAAGGCAGCCTTGTAGCTACCCCATGCTTCAAACAGTTGTTCCAGTGACACTGCACATTTCCAAGAAGAACCCAAATAGTTTTCCTTCCTGGTAAGAGAACGAGTGTGGTAAAGTGGGTAGTGTTGGGCTCTGATGAGAGAGGCCCAGGTTCTAATCTCCATTTTGCTTTGAAGCTCACTGGGTGACTTTGGACCAATCACAAGCACTCTTGGCCTAACCTCCCTTACAGTGTTGCTAGGGTAGACGTGAAAAGAGGACTGTGAGTTCCTTGGATAGTTACAGGATTTTTAAAAAAACCTGAATGAATAATCAAAATCTCCTTTAAACACCCCCCAATACATTTGTGCGAAGAGTGGTCTTTGCAAACTTTCCTTTTATCATGTAAAGTAACATCCTCATTACCAACTTTATAATGAGATGTTTTCAGTTTCTGACTTTTATTTTCATTAAAGGCTTCTCCCAAGCTTTCTCTGCCATTTCTTGTGTGCTTCTAGAAACAACTTCACACGTTAACTACTGGTTAGTTGGCATTCAGTGTTATGTTAGACGTAATTGGGCTGTTGCTTCAATTTGCTAAATGAACCTTTACATAAGATGTGTTGTAAACTGCTTGCCCTTGTGTTCATATGATATGAACTGGGAAACATGCAAGGCAGTTTGCTTACTGCTAGGATACTTTTTGCAGCTGACTGCAGAGAATACCTTCATCTTGCCCCCTCTGTTTTGCCTCACCATCAACTTGATTTGATTTATTAGATTTGTATCCTGCTCTCCCCCGTGTCCAGGCTCAGAGCGGGTAACATAATTGATTTAAAAAATTAACAATTTAGTATTAACATTTCTAATACAGAGATACAATTTATTTATTTATTCATTTATTTGTTTATTCGATTTATACCCAGCCCTCCCCGCCGAGGCAGGCTCGATAGAATACTGAATAATATATAATAAAATGCATAATATTGTAAACCAGCACATAATTGAAAGATGGCATAAAACTCGGGTGGGAGTGATGCATAAATCTGCCTGATCTGAAAAGAGAGGGGAGAGGGGGAGGCCAATCAAAGATGGAACCCATTGCTATCCTCAACCATAGGCCAGGCGGAACAACTCTGTTTTACAGGACCTCCATAACTGGATCTTAGCGGGAAGAGTGTTCCACCAGGCCGGAGGCAGGGCCGAAAAGGTCCTAGCTCTGGTCGAGGACACCTGGGCATTCTTTGGGCCAGGGATCACACCAGCATGTTTTGGTTGCTAGAGCATAACGCTCTTTGGGGGGGGGGGGTTATACCAGGAGAGGTGGTCCTGAAAGTATGCTGGTCCCAGACCGTTTAGGGCTTTGAAGGTAAGCGCCAAAAACTCGATGCTGATCCAGTCTTCAATCTGGAGCCAGTGCAGCTGGTAGAGCACTGGTTGAATATGTGCTCTAAAGGCCGTTGGTAGGAGCTGGTTCTGATATGCTTGCTTTGCATTCTGTCTTGTGCATGGCTTGTGGCCACTGAATGTGACAACCAATATAAGGCCAATGCCTTTTTGTCTCTATTATCAAAGGCTGATCCAGTGTGAAAATGAGGTCGGGAAACTCCTGTTCTTGACCGAGATCCCAGAGTTACTACTTGATGAGCCTAGCGAAGCCAAACAGAGTCTTGTTCTGCAGGAAGCATCCCTTACAGAGCCACAGTTTGCAGACGGGAGTCCAGGACTAAAGTCAGTGCTGTCGACAGGTCGAAACCTAAGCAGCAGCTGCGACACAGGAGATAAGCCAATGGTGACATTCAAAGAGAACATTAAACCGCGAGAGGTAAACCGAGAGCCAGGCCGAGGCTATCTAACAAAGGAAGTGAGTAGAGAAAGAAGGGATTACAGCAAAGGAATAACAGCCAATAAAAATGACGGGAAGAAAGACAACAACAACAAGAGGAAGAATGAAACCAAGAAGTGCGGCATGGAAAAGATGCAGGAAGCAGGGAAGCAGAACGTGGCGGTGCAGGTAGGGCTTTTGTGATTTTCCTTGGAGGGAATGCCTCCCGGGGGTTTCTTGATGCAGCCACTTGAGTTGGCTCCAGTATGCAGAGGCCATGGAACTTTATAAAGCTTTGGTATAGTTAGCCTAGTTGATATTTTTTTTTGAGGTCAGAGATGCTGGGCTAGTTTGCATTGCAGATACTCATTAAGGGGTGTGCTAGAGCCTCCCTGCGCCTGTAATGTCCCACTAGTTCAAACAGCTGTGACACACATCTGAGGCCGGATCATCGAACATCCCTTACCATGAGCGGTACATCAGGCAAGGAGAGAATCAGTGCCCACTTACAGCAGCTCCTCATATTTCTTGCCAGAAGGAACATAGAAATAAATTGGGCTTTCCTTCGCTTCTCTGGTGTTGACTGCTCCTGCTTCATCAGGAAGGAGAAGTGGAAACGAAACCTGGTGAATTCACAGCACTTAGGGATTTTTTTGTCAAGAGAGTGGGTGAGACAAGGTAGGAGCTAGAAGAAGGCTCTTCTGAAATTGGTGACTTTAATAGGTGATGGAACCAGTAGCCATTGCAGATATATAGAGGGTGCTGTATATCAATGTTCCCTCTAAGCTGTGGAGTCTTGTGAACAAAAATTCTACTTTGTGAGCTACCGGCATTAAAGTTGTGAGCGAGTGACTTGGCTACTGCATAGATTAGTTTGCACTGGAGCCATCCTTCCTGTGCTAAGACAAAAATATGTGAGCCAGAGGCTAAAAAACTGTGAGCTAGCTCACACTAACTCAGCTTAGAGGGAACAGTGCTGTATATGTGGTCCATTTAAATAGGTAATTTATGAACTCACCCCCAATCACTGTTTTTCCCCCCTTTAGGAGCACCATCATTTAGTGGTACTGTGTTGGCAATCTCATCCTTTAGAAGCTTTCTTCTGCCTGCCCAGCACCCCAGATAATTTTTTTTGACAGCTTGAATCTTTAAAAGTTCTCTTGGAGGTCTGTTAATGGTGAAAGCTGCGTAAGAGTTAGTCCATCCGTCCTCTTTTCCAAAATAAATCCACCTCAGTATTCTTAATGGCTGTTGAATTTTGTCATTTGACTAGTCTCCTGACAATGAAACTGAGTCAGACTCTAGAATTTCAGCAAAGTTAGACCGATGCCATTCTCTTAGGCTAGTAGGGAGAGCGAGAGAGAGACCACAATGGTCTCTTTAAAAATAAGCTCACATTTTTGTTCAGACTAGTTTGTTTTTCCCCAAGGGAAGATTGAAGTAGATGTATAAAATTAAATGGGCTTTTAAAATAGCTGTTTTTCTGCACACTTCAGGTGAATAAGAAAGAATGCGGTCAGGCAGTGAAACGTACTGTACTTTCACAATCACTAAATGCATCTGGTAGGGAGGGAGTCATGATGGATTTCTGAAAGAAGAAAATAGTGTCTGTCTTTGTTGCCGTGTAACTGGCAGATCCCACCTGAAGATTTCCCCAGACTGGTCACTCCCCACCCCCTTTCACAGTGGCCAATTTGTTCAGAGCTGGCTATTCTCATGAGCCCTAATTCAAGAGACACCTTTTTGTTGCAGTGAAGATGTGAAAATATCCCAGCATGAGTTTTTACTGCACTACCCTTTGACACACACACACCCAGCCTCTACTGCCAGGTGTATCACTGGGTTTCTTTCTCACCAGCCCTCAGGATGTAGCTTTTCAGAATATAGTCATTGCTCCTGGTGCAGTGAGGCCAGTGTCAGGCAGAATTTTTCAGAGGGATAAAATCTGCTCCTTAACTCTTTCTGGGTGCAGCACAACTGGAAGGGGGTTGTGTCAATGCTCCCTCTAAGCTGTGGAGTCTTGTGAGCAAAAATTCAGCTTTGTGAACCACTGGCATTAAAGTTGTGAGCAAGCAATTTGGCTACTGCATAAATCAGTTTGCTTTGGAGCCATCCTTCCTGAGCTAAGACAAAAATGTGTGAGCCGGAGGCTAAAAAAATGTGAGCTAGCTCACACTAACTCAGCTTAGAGAGAACACTGGTTGTGCTGCAGGCCTCCACTTGAAGCAAGGGACAGAAGAACTACAATCTTGAGGTATTTCCACCTAAAAATGCAGTATACAAGGGATGGGATACTCATAGCAAGGTATGAAGTGTCGGCTGATAGAAATTTAGCATTAGATTTAACTCATTTCCTCTTGTACAATTTTTGGTAATCCCCAGCTAAAAAGCTTGGATGATTCCCCCTCCTAATCTCCAAATTCTTCTGTTCAGTCGCTCAATTCTGCCATTTGTTGGCTAAAGGGACTTATAGAAATGTCGTATTAAAGATTCTTTCAGCTCAGCGTGAGAAATCACTCACGGTCGAAGCCGCTTTGAGGCTGTAATCTGTGGTAAGGAAGATGGGCGTACAGCACAAGTCAGGCAGTAATTTCATTAAATGCTACTTAGAGTGTACAAATTAAGGTACACAGTGTGGAAAAATTACACTAACAAGGAAATCAACTGTGATCCAAGCGCTACGATAAATAATGCCGTGCTGCAAAAATAAAAAATAAGAACATAAGAGACGCCAATGTTGGATCAGGCCAAAGGCCCATCCCGTCCAACACTCTGTGTCACACAGTGGCCAGAAATACCAGTGCCATCAGGAGGTCCACCAGTGGGGCCAGGACATTAGAAGCCCTCCCACTGTTGACCCCCCCAAGCACCAAGAAGACAGAGCATCACTTGCCCCAGAGCCCCTATCTATACCTTGTGGCTAATAGCCACTGATGGACCTCTGCTCCATACGCTTATCTAATTCCCTTTTGAAGCCGTCCATGCTTGTAGCCGCCACCACTTCCTGTGGCAGTGAATTCCATGTGTTAATCACTCTTTGGGTGAAGAAGTACTTCCTTTTATCCGTTCTAACCCGACCGCTCATCAGTTTCATGGAGTGCCCACGAGTTCTTGTATTGTGAGAAAGGGAGAAAAGTACCTCTTTCTCTACCTGCTCTTTTAAAAATATATACTTTTAAAAATAATAAATCAATAAAGTGTACAATCTTCTTTACAGTATATGGTGCCAAAATGCAGCATAACAAATTGAAACGAAGCCAAAAGATGTTAACAACGTGCTCCGGAATGTCCTGTGTCATTTCGACGTTCCTTCTTCCGAACGAAATTATATCTATGAATAAACATTTTACAAACATTTCACAATTATTTCTCAATGTTGCTCAAGGATACTTGAAACCCATGTAACCTAATAAAATGTGAACATACTACTCATACAGCCCTTTACACGAATATCCCGCACGAGGAGGCGCGGCTTTGCCTCCTTAACATACTTGAAAAGAGGACTGCCCTTTCCCCTCCCACCCATTTTTTTTTAGACTTGATTGATATTTTTGAAAAGTTTTTTTTCTGTTTTGGTAATGATTTCTTTTGGCAGAGAGTGGCAATGGGCAGCACTTTTGCACGCAGTGTAGCTTGTTTATTTATGAGTCGGTTCGAGAACCATTAGATAACTAACCCGGACAATAATCCTTTTCATAAGCATTTGTTCTATTTTAAACGTTACATAGATGATGTTTTCCTTATAATAGAGGGCTGGTCAGTTATAGAGTCTTTTATGGACTGGCTTAATTCCATACATAGTAGCATTAGGTTTACATATGTAGCAGATAGACAACAGATTAATTATTTAGACACCAGTGTTTGTACATAATGGGCAATTAGCTGTGCGTCCTTGTCACAAACTTACAGATAAAAATTCCTTTTTGCATTTTTCTTCTTTTCATGTCAAACATATTAGACATAATTTACCCTATGGGCAGTTTTTGAGGTTGAAAAAGAATGCAACATTGATACAGGACTATCACCGGGAAGCATCCAAGATGTAGATAGATTTTTTCACATTCTAAAACATTTGTAAAATGTTTATTCATAGATATAATTTCGTTCGGAAGAAGTAATTTCGTTAAGGCATAGTTTGTGTGACCCCATGACCTGTGCTCCCTCTAAGCTGTGGAGTCTTGTGAGCAAAAATTCTGGCATTAAAGTTGTGAGCGAGCCATTTGGCTACTGCATAGATGAGTTTGCTCTGGAGCCATCCTTCCTGAGCGGAGAGAAAAATGTGTGAGCTGGTGGCTAAAAAATTGTGAGCTAGCTCACACTAACTCAGCTTAGCGGGAACATTGCCCATGACTGCAGGTGCTGTGCCGGGAGTAGTGGGGAGGAAGCCGGCTCGCGTCCATGTCCTGCCTTTGGGTCTGCTGGGCATACTTGCTTTATAGTTCAAAATATTGATGTACCCACCCTTTCCCTAGGCATCCCAGGACCCAATGTAAAAACAAACATTAAAACATCAGATTAAAAACAACCCTCGCCCCAAGCAGCAGTGCAGTCCCTCTCTGCCCCGGCTCAGCCTGTCCCAGAAGCTCTGCAGAACAGGTCTGCTAATGCAGCCTTGCTGGAAAGCCAGGAGGGCAGGAGCCGCCTCACCTCTTCTGGGAGGCCCTTCCAGGGGCATAAAGCCTGATCCTGGACGTTCGCAGACCAAGGTGGGGAGGGACGGATAACAGACCTTGTTGGGGGGAGATCAGATCTGTAACACGGGAGCACGCAGGGAGAGACTGGTCCTACAGGTACGTGGGCAGAAATAATTATCGTACACATTATGGAAGAGAGAGTGCATTTTTTTAAGGCCAGTTGAACTATGCTAGTTTGTGGTAGAGAGAAATGAGCCACACAACAGAGTCTTGTATAGGTCTTTGCATGACACGCACACATATATAAAATGCAGAAACTCGGAGTTGATCAGCACTTTGGAAGTGCTCGATTTAAAAAAAAGTTGAACTTAATTTCACGTTTTTCAAATTAGCTTGGAAAGGGAACCAAAACTGCCGGCCAGAACCAATTCATCTTTAGCAGGCTTTAGTTTAAGGAGAAAATGGGGAGAAGTAAGTAAAAGAAGAAATTAACGAGTTAATTGTTTGTCTTCCTAGGTGAAATCACAGACGGAGTTGAGGAAGACTCCCGTCTCTGAAGCCAGGAAAACACCAGTAACTCAGTCTCCAAACCAGGCCAGCAACTCCCAGTTCATCCCCATCCATCACCCAGGAGCTTTCCCCCCGCTTCCCAGCCGACCAGGTAAAAAACAAAAGCACGTGCTCTTTACTGCTTGTTTTGGTTCTCCAGGGCCTTTGACATACTGGATAGGAAGAAAATACAATATTCCTGTTCCCTGACACACCAACCCGAATGGGTAAACTTTATGTGCTGCATCCCGTATTTCTTTATCATACATGTTTTATCCATTTTTATAGTGCGTGAATGGTGACACAGGTACTTTCCTCAATTAAAGTTGTTTTATATTTAACGTTTTTGCAAACAAAAAAGTCTATTTGAAGAGCAGGTTGTTGGCATGTTTCTTCTTGAAATTGTCCCCAGGGGACAATCAGAAGTGCCCTGTAATGAGTAACTGAAGCAGGGAGATTCTACTGAGGGATCCTGTTAACTCTGAAATCGCTTTTTAAAGAGGAGCTTAAGTGGAAGGAGCAGAAGATGTTTCCTTCCTTGTGTACCGTCTTCCCCCAAACAACAGATTGTACTGTCCACTGTTTAACTTGTTATGGAGATTAGTTGTTGTAGATTTTCTGGGCTGTATAGCCATGGTCTTGGGAATGTAGGACCTGACGTTTTGCCAGCAGCTGTGACTGGCATCCTCAGAGGTATAACACGGAAAGATGGAGTACTCTCTGTGTCATTTCTGTGTTATGCCTCTGAGGATGCCAGTCACAGCTGCTGGCAAAAGTTCGGGTCCTACAATGCCAAGACCACGGCCATACAGCCCGGAAAATCTACAACAATTAATGAACTCTGGCTGTGAAAGCCTTCGACAACATATTGTTATGGAGAGTTAATGATTAAAGTATCGCTGTATTAATCTCAAAAGTGCAACTGGGAAATTTCTTCACAGACAGGAGATTCCTCTTTTTAAAAACGGGCCTTTGTTTTTTGTGTTTTGTCTTTGTCTTTGAAGGCTTCCCACCTCCAGCGTATGTTATCCCCCCGCCTGTGGCTTTCTCTATGAGCTCGGGGTACACTTTCCCAGGTGGCGTTTCTGTCCCAGGAACCTTTCTTCAGCCTGCAGCTCACTCACCCGCAGGAAACCAGGTGCAAGCTGGGAAGCCATCCCACATTCCTTACAGCCAGCAGCGGCCCTCCGGACCAGGCCCGATGAACCAGGGACCTCAGCAGACGGCCTCCCCTTCCCAGCAGTCCCTCTCATCCTTATCAGCTCAGGCAACAGTGCAGTCTGCCAGCCAGTTACAGGTCCAGGCTCTGGCCCAGCAGCAGCAGCAGCAGCAGCAGTCTCCTACAAAAGCTGTGCAGGCCTTAGGGAAGAGCCCTCCGCACCACTCTGGATTCCAGCAGGTGAGGCGTTCTGTGGAAACTGGCGTTCTGAGCCAGTTCGTCCGGCAAGGCGGGATAGAAATCGAAACAATAAATACACACACAAATATAAATATAAAACTGCAGTGTTTCTTTAAACTGCAAATGGAAGAACAGCTAGATCCAAAGGCCGTTGTGAAACATGAATTCAGTTTTGGGTCAGGGAAGCGAAAGCTCTGTGCTCAAATCTAAATTACCCGTGACTGCCATGTATTGCAGACTTTTGTGTGGGAGTGTACAAGGAAGGAGAGAAGTTGCCGGGGACTTAAGAGAAGACTAAGAAGAAGGGTGACACCCGCGTGGTGGTTAGAATATTGAACTAGCATCTGGGAAACCCAGGTCTGGATCCCCACACTGCCATGGAAGCTTGCTGGGGGAGGTCTTGGGGCAGTGTCACCCTTTCTCGGCCTCAGCGGGTAGAATAAGGTGGAGGAAGGGAAATGATGGTGTAAGCGACTTTGGATCCTCACCGGAGGGAAAAGTGGGGTATACATACTTAAAATGGAGCTGCGGTGGCTCAAGTGGTTAAGACGCTGAACTGCAGGCTGTGGAAGGTCAGTAGTTCAGCGGTTCGAGACCCGGGTGCCGCATGATGGAGTGAGCTCCCATCTCTGTTTCCAGCTCCTGCCAACCTAGCAGTTCGAAAGCAAGAAATTGCAAGTAGATAAATAGGTACCACTTCGGTGGGAAGGTAACAGCGTTCCGTGCGCCTTGGGGTTTAGTCATGGCGGCCACATGACCACGGAAACGTCTTCGGACAGCGCTGGCTCTTCGGCTTTGAAACGGAGATGAGCACCGCAACCCTAGAGTCGGACTCGACTGGCTTTCGAGCAAGGGAACCTTTACCTTTACCTTTACATACTTAAAATCATGGGGTGAGCAGGAGGGATTACTGCAAAAACCTATTTGGAGGGCTTATGGAGTACTCATGTGGCACCTCAGTTAGCATGCAGCACGTTAAATCTGACAGTGTTCCCTGAAGCTGAGATGGCCAGTCCTTTGAACCCCCAGAGCTCCTGCCTCTTTACCAGTTGCATTCATGCCGGGTTTGGGGCTCATCAGGCTCCTGCTCCACCGATGTGGCAAAACTGCCTCTGCTTGAGATCCTTCCGCATTAAAAATGATGGATCTTGAAAAGTTAGTCCGTCCTTCTGTGGGTTGTGCCTAGTGAAACACTCTCCAGCTTTCCTTTGTCATCTGGAGGCCTAAGGACTCTGCTGTCAAACTGAATGTTCAGCCAGTTCTGCCTTATTGGCACAGAATGCTCAACGCTGCCCAAGTGCGTTGTGGCGTTGAGTCACGGTAGCTACATATTTTTATATTGTGCACAGAGAACATGGCGGGCACTTTCAGTGGTGCTGAGAGCAAAAGCAGCTTCCCGCCCTCTGCCCTGCTGCCAGAGGAATCTGTTTATCGAGTGTGCGTGCCTGGTAAATTCCAGCGAGACCCACTGTGAGGAATATTTTTTGGTAGAGAGAGGGTGTCATTTGTTACACTGACCTGTTGGTGGCCAAGTTGGTCACTTTTGTTCAGTGGCTGTCCAGTTTTAAAAGAACAAATTGCCGTGCTGAATGCAGGAATGTCTGTCTTTAGTATTCCCAGGCAGACGCATCCAAGCAGCTCTGGAACCCTCCTCAGGTCCAAGGCCCGCTGGGGAAGATTATGCCTGTGAAGCAGCCCTACTATCTTCAGAGTCAGGACCCCCTAAAACTGTTTGAACAGTCGTTGCAGCCTCCCCTCATGCAACAGCAGCAGCCTCTGGAGAAGAAGATGAAGCCTTTCCCCATGGAGCCATATAATCAGAATCCCTCGGAAGTCAAGGTGCCAGAATTTTACTGGGACTCTTACATGGCTGACAACCGTGTTGTGATGGCACAGCAGCAAGCTAACATGGACCGCAGGGGCAAACGGCAGCAAGGAGTTTTTCGTCCGGAGCAGGATGCCATGCCTAGGATGGGTTTTGAGGTAAATGTGCTGCCAAACTGATGAGCTGCAGGCAGAACGTAGGAGGATGAGGACAGATCCCTAGACGTCAGACAGAATCAGTGGGGCTGTTTGTGTTCGACTCTCAAAGGGACGACAGTTAGGGAGGGCAGATGGGGGTGTCCCCGTTTCCCTGCTATCTTTCTGTTTCAGACATAATTAGATGCATCTGTATGTTTATTCTGTTGGTTCTATGCTAGAGGGAAAGGGAGCTACATACTAGGTGTGCGTGCAACAAAACCAGGCTCCCCCTTTTGACAGATGGCAAGGGGGGTGTTGCAAACAGTGTTGAAGTGTTTGCCCAGTCAGCTGATGATTGGGCATAGGAAGTGGAACTGTGGGTAGAGACATGCCTGCGTTCTCTGTATAGAGGTTCTTAGTCCCTGACATGCATTCATTTTCAAGCATAGATCATTTTCGCCTTCTCCCCTTCCTCCTGCCCATCCAAGAGCAAGTGCAATGCAGTGAACGTTGCCTTCCCATCTCAATAGTATTCCCTTTCCCTCAGTGACATTGTCATAATACCAAATCGGGTTGGCTGGCTTGACGTTGACATTACATTCACAGTGTGATCCCTGATTGGCTGGGGTCATCGTGTGATCCCTGATTGGCTGGGGTCATCGTATGAGGAAGAAGCAGCCTCATGAGAGGCAAAAAATGATGCTGAAGTAACTGCTGCTGCAGCAAAAAAAGCAGTGAATAAGTAGGTGAACCGGTGCCCCTGATGAGTCACCCGTGTAAGAGGAGTGGAGTGGAGCTTTAGTCCTGTGGAAGGTTGTAAAGTTTAAGTTCCAGTTTGTGGATTCCTGCCAAAGCAGAGAAGGGTACAATGTAGGGTGTATCAGACTTTATCGCAGTAAGCCTTCACTAGTTAAGATTTAGTTGCGCAAAGCAAATTGAAGGCAGTTCTCTCCTGGTAGCACTTGTTCTTAACCGCAGTTGGAGTCCAGACATAAAAAAGCAGGAGCAAGGCCATGTGGGCTTGATGCTTGACTTAAGGTACGGGGGAGGTACTGCTGGGAGGGCCAAGTCCTTGTGCAAAGGTGGCAGGGCTGCAAAAACTGCCAGCATTTGGGATGGGTTGATGGAGCCGGAGACCAGCCTTGTCCTCTCAAGGCATTGACTGAGAACAGTTGAGTGTCAGGGGTTCACAGCCCCTTGGGCCATTGACTGCACTTCCTTATGAGTGCTTGCTGCTAGCAGCCTTCAGGGATGCCCAGATCCCTCCGGTTCTAAAGAAAGGCTTGGCTTAACCCACCAGGATCCCAGAGCAGACAGCTGCTGGAATGCTGATCCCGTTGCCTTTTATCAAGTGATTGTGTGCGTGTGGTAGTGAGCAGGAGGTATGAGGACGCACTTTGTTTATCTGCAGCAGGATTGGTCCTCCCAACCCCGTTGCGACTGCTTTCTATTCAAGCCAGTCATTCGCACTCCTGAATGTGCTGGTGGCAGCCAGAGACTGACCATTAAAAATAGCCCCAGTAAGGAGTGCTGCGTTTCCATCAGCGAGCAGAAGATAGAAACAGCCGGCTTGCTTTGCCACTTGTGCCTTCAGCTAAGTCAACGCTGTTGGATCTAATATCTCCTTTCCTTTATAATGATGTTGTATGATAGTATGTTCATAGTTGCCAGGAAGTCTCTTTTTACTAGGAGCGTTCTGAGAAAGGTGACGCAGAGTCCTGAGACCTGTCAAAGCAGATGTCCAAAGACTAGCATTCCTAGCTTTTGTATTTTTAGGTTAGTCTCCCTAATCTGAATTGCAGACCTTTGCCTAATGTCTAAAATTAGCAAAACCTGGGATGAGACCCCTGCTGCACAGTGGAGAGATGCTGTGGAAAAAGTGGAAGGGGTGTGGGAAGGCCACAAGGAGTGAAGCGGTGGGAGATTAGATCCCTGCTCGTGTTTGCATTCTGCACAAAGGAGAGAAACTCAGCTGGGTTGGGGGGGGGGGGCAGACCTGACTCTCATACGGTTGAAGATATTTGGTGATAATTCATCCAGCTGTGATCAACAGAGTAAGAAGGAATGCTGATAAAATCGTTTCAGGATTGAGTCACATGACACACTTCAGTGGTGTTTGCAAATTTCAAGGTGACCAAAATACTGGGGAGTTGACCAAATGTGTTCGTTAGTAGTCATCATTAAAGCGCTAGAAATCGCGTTCTTCATAAGTAGGACCTAGTAGTTTGGGGTGGTTTGGGGGTTTTCTGCTGGCCATAAATTCAAAGCAGTGTGATTTCTAAAACACAGAAGAACAAGACAGTTTGCCTCAACTTTCTCTCTTTCTCCTCTTCAGTTTCTCGTTGCCCTGTTCTTTACCCCTATGAGCCGCTTTTGCATGCTGGCGTAAGCTTGTCCTTGCATACCCTTCTTTTGTCCAGTAGCCTGCTTTGCAGTCTTTGTGCTTCGTATGGGCCTTCGTTCTGTTCCCGTAACCCCACCCCCACCCCCCATGCCACCCCCCTGCTGCTGTTCTTGCTTTCTCTCCGTCCCTTGCTGCGTCTCACTGTGCTCCTTTCTGTCACTAGGACCCCAAGAGCTCCCCTCTGCTTCCTCCGGACCTGTTAAAGAGTCTGGCTGCCTTGGAGGAGGAGGAAGAGCTGATTTTCTCTAATCCTCCTGATCTTTACCCAGCTCTGCTGGGGCCTCTCGCGTCTCTTCCTGGACGAAGCCTCTTTGTATGTATTTGACTTAATTCTGCTGCTTCTTGCTCTAATTTTGGCATACTTTTAGCGTATTTTTAATTTTTTTTTTCCCTCTTGCGAAGTCAGCAGTCCACATGAAATCCATGCCTGCTTGCCAAAAGAGTGGGGGAATTTGAATCAGTGGTAGGTCTCCACATTGCAGGAGAACTGCTGGGAGGCTATAATACACTTACAGTCTTGAACGTAGAGTTGCTGCTTTCTGACGGATAGATCAAGATGGGTAGCCCTGCTAGTCTGTCTGTAGCAGTAGAAAAGAGCAAGAGTCCAGTAGCACCTTAAAGACTAACAAAACATGTGGCGGGGTGTATGAGCTTTCTCGTGAGTCACTGCTCACTTCTTCAGTGAATTGTGAAAGCTCATGCCCTGCCACATATTTTGTTAGTCTTTAAGGAGCTACTGGACTCTTGCTCTTTTCTACTGCTTTCTGACTCTCAGTGCCTGGTTTCTTAAGCTCTGGAAAGGGTCTGTGAGCTTTCGTGTTCACTCCACTGTGTGTGTGTGTATGTGTACAAGACGGGTGAGCAGGTGACCTATTGAAGACCTATGGCAGGAGGAGCTGTTTCAGCTGAATGTGTCCCTGATCCAGAGCTCATGAGCAGGCACAGTCTGAAAGGTTAAGGGAGCTGCAACCCTGGCTGATCCGAATCCCCCATCTCTTGGCTTGCTGTGAGAATTTCCAGATTCTTCTCTCTCTTGCACCGAAGCTACATGGAATCCTTCCAGAGTCCACCGGAACATGAACAAACGGTGCCTAAAGAGCAGGAAGTCATAGCCTGCAAGAGAGAACATCCATTTGCTTTCAGTGTTGTGGAGGTTCAGTCCACCTTGGTAATGGGAGACGTTCTCGAGCAAGTTGTATGATTTGTAAGCCATGCCGACCCCTCTTTTGAGGGAGCCACAGGCACTATTTGTCACTTACCTTGGCTTCCGCACAAAAACAGCCCACTGAGTCCATTGAAGGTGTCAAGGACGTCTGTGTCAAATGAAAGCTTTAAAAACATTACAGGGAAGTGTTTTTGGCCATATTGCCACAGGAAGTTGGTCAAGAGTTCAAAGCTGAGCAGATATTAGGACTCCTTGGCCATCCAGAATCCACTAGATGAGACGGGTTCTTGATCACTGTTCCCAACCAACAGTAAACATCTCATTCTGGAGAAACATGCAATATTCCAAGGACTCGGGGGGGGGGGGACTCATTCAGTTCCTGTCTCTGAGCAAGAAGGATTGACATAATGCAAGCCAGCCCACTCTACTATTTTGTGTTGATGCTTTAAAAAGTAGCGTGGAATTTTGATGAATCTAGCATTAGCTACATCTTGCTTGACATAAAAGTGAAAACCTTAACTGGGTATCTTTCCCAAGGGAACATCTAATATACTCTTCCTGTCTCACGCATACATTAAATACTACGCAATGTGTCCTTTGTACATCGCAAAAATTGTGGTATAGATTTTTTTTGTCTGAAGAAGCTCCTGGTGTAAATTAGAAGGTTCTTATCGCACCAAAAGAGACCTTTGAATACCAGGTGCTGGCAGCAAACAGGGCAAGGCGCAGGACTTCACGCACAGGGCGTGAGCTTTTCCAGAGGCTGCTGCAAACAGAATGCTGGACTTGACAGCCCCTTGATCTGATCCAGCAAGGCAGGTCTCCTGTGTTTTAACCATGGGAAGATGTTATTCTCCAAATGCCTACACGTTTACTGCATCAGCAGTCATCAGGGATGTGTGGGACGGCCCACACCAACACAGAGTACAAGAGGTTTTATGGGGGAATGTTTTCTAACAAACTCCTTATAAAGACTGTAATATTTAAATCAGTGACTGGCTTTAGGCTAGTCACAGTCCTTCAGCCTTAGTTCCAACCCCATCCAACCCCTTAAAGTCGGGATGATAATGCTACCACACAGTGTGGTTGCATAGAGGGTAGTGATGGGAGTTTAGGAAGAACCTAACCATTAAAATAGCAAACTGGCGGTTGGAGGAGGCACATAGTATGAAGAAAGATGGGTTCACATGATGTTAAATTGAGGTGTGGCATCTAAAAGTAGCTGCTTATTCTCTGATTATTACCATGGTTCTGTCCACACTGCATGAAAATAAGGGTAATATAACATCCTGACTTAAAAAAGAAGAAGACATAAGCAACTACTTAATTCAAGTTTTTGATTGCCAGGGAGGATTGAGGTGCCCTGACCCGGATGGCTCAGGCAATTGTGATTTCGTCAGATCTCAGAAGCTAAGAAGGGGTCGGCCCTGATTAGTACTTGGGTGGGAGACCTCCGGAGAATACCAGGGCTATGATGAGGAGGCAGGCAGGCAATGGCAAACCACCTCTGAACGTCTCTTGCCTTGAAAACCCTGCAGTGCCTGCATAGGTCAGCTGTGAACTGATGGCACTTTCCACCACCACAGGAGGCGACAGTAGTTTGTGCAGAGGGTTTTTTTTTTTTTTTTTTGGCAGCCCTTTGGATCTAGCTCTGGATTCATTCAAGGGAATGCTTGAGTTGGATGAAAACAACACTTCAGAATGGATGCTGTCTTGCAGTACCTCTGCTAGTCCAAGCTTGCCGCTTGAGTGATGCTACAGAAGGGTTGAAAAAGGGTAGCTGACCATGTCCAAAAATAACGGATGAAGCCTAGTCAAGCAAACATACCAATAAAGACGGACACAGAGTGCTTACAGTCCTGTTCCCTTAACATCTAAAGTGAATGATGTCTATCGGGGAATAGTGATCTTGCCTGGAACCTCAAGTGTCTGTGAATTGTTCTGGCCAAAGCGCACCAGGCTTGAAGGAGTAGTGCATTGTTATCTGTTTAACCCAGTAGAATAGTTTTGAACTCTGTGTCAGATTTGGTTGGGTTTGGCACATCTTCAGCCACCTGTTCTTTAGCATGTTGTCTGGGGGACCTCAACTGTTTTTAAACCAGTGTATTTTCTGCATATGAAATGTGGGGGAGAAGGGTGCCCAGGCTTCACTGTGCTTTATTGCCAAGGCCTGTCTCATGCTCCAGGGCCTGGCTGGGTTACCGTTGGAAGGGCTGTCAGACTGAATGTCTGAATCTCCCAGTGAGTTCTGGAAACCAAATCTAAAGCCGCCTCCAGTCAGCTTGACTTGTTGCGGAATGAGCTGCTCTGCAGCGTAGCTCCATCACAGGTTCCAACCAGAGGAACACTATGAAGCCAGCAGCAGTTTGCATTGGGCTCCCTTCGAAGAAAATGGGACCCTTTTAGAGACCCTTAATTCTCCTCTCTGGCCCCAGGAAGGCTGAGTTCTAGGGTTACAAGACCTATGTGTAGTAATAACCACATGGATTCAGAGGGTTGCCTTTTGGGAAGGGGGGGGGAATCATCCCCTCCATTTTTCCTTGCAAATGCCAACTTCCTCCTCCCTCGTCTCCTCAGTGGGACCCACGTGGCTGTTAGTCCACAGGGGACCTGCCAGCCCGGGAATCAGGCAGCAGCTCTTTCTCTGCCTCTGCAGAATTGCAGCATAGAGACGGCCTTATGTATTTGTCGTACTTTAGTGAGTTTAAGCTGATTGCCACTGTGATAGGCAGGCATCCAGGCACAGGGCTGGATCCTGTGACCCATCAGTGGAAGGCACCCATGGTCACTCATCTTTCCTGCATCCCACTTCTTCCAGCAGTACTTTCTGGCTCTGAGTCAGTTCAGCTCTGTTGACAGAAGAAAGAGGAGTGACTTTGTCCCCTTGCCACCTCCCCACTGTAGCCTCCCAAACCTTATGGGCTATTAAGCCACACTGGTCCTGTGACCCTGAGAATAAGCTTTCCCAGGGTAGGAAAGGCCTGGGGAGCAGGAAACGTGGGAAAGATCCGCTGTCAAGTCCTCAGATCACAGGATTCAACCTATCATGTGTGCTGTTGCCTGTAGCATTCTTTCCCGTTTTTTTCTTACAGAGTATGTTGAGAAAGCCAGGTTAATTCAGACCATGAGTTTACATGTTTGAGCAAAGAATCCAGTGTGCTAACCTATGTGCCTTAACAGGCAGTTAGTGGTAATTGACAAAGCTGCAGTTTAAGCTCTGTAACTCCTTTAAAGTTGAAGCGTATAGTGTTTTCCACTGAACTTCCCCAGGTGAAATTGCCTTCTTCGTTTTCCTAACTAATGCGGCTATTTGGTTTTACTGTCACCTGTAAAATTAAAGTGTGATTCATAGATGTTTGCATAATGTATTCCAGGCATCTGTAGTTTATAACAGAAAGAGGGTCTCCACTATGTTTCTGCCCCCACTTCTTACACCTACGCCCCATTTGAGCACTCTTCTTACAATTACAGATTTATTGGTTTTATGCAGAAAGATGATCTAAGTAGTCAGTCTATAATAATACCTAACAGTGTCTTTCACTTCTCTGGTTTTCCGAAGAAATCGCTGCTAGAGAAACCATCAGATCTGATGTCTCAGTCACCTTCTTTCCTGTCCCTCACGGGCTTCTCTCTTAACCAGGTAATAAATTACAAAGACCTCTTAGCCTCTTTATGCTGGGCAGCAGCATCAATTTATTGAGTCCTTTTCTAACTCCTCAAAAGCAGCCTTGGGTTTGTTTGGGGTTTTCTGTGAAAGGGATGTTTTGTAGGTAAGAGCATGTTCAGTTACATAAGCCCTCACCTGCAGTCTGAATTAGGCAAAGACCAGATGCAGATCTACCATCAAATACTCCCTTTCTGATAAGTAGGCCCATCACAGTGTATAACTTGCCACCTTTGAAAGGTGGCATGGGTATGCTGAAGGTACCCGTACTGAGTAGCTGCTGCAGCTTCCCAGTCTGTGTTTCCAGTGGTAAGTACCAAATCCATGTCTTTTCTGACAAATTATATACTGTTGGGGGGAGAGTAGCGTGTGAAGCAATAGACGTAGGTGCCTTTCTTTCAATTTTAATTTGTCCTGAACAATAAACACTGCCAGATTCATCTGGCTATTCAGTCACTAATTGTAAAGTGATCCTTAAATTAAGTCCAGCATGTCCACTTACGTTTCCTTCCCATGGTGGCTTACATCCCCCCCCCAAAAAAAAAATCTCTAAATCACTCTCTTGGATGTCACTTACTTGCCTGGCCTGGGCAGGTGCTGAATTTGTGTTCATGTTAATTCTACTTTGTCAGCAGGATTTTCCAAGGTTCGAGTCTAGTAGCCCCTTCAAGCCCAACAAGGTTTCCAGTGTATAAACTTTCTTTTCTTTTTTTTAAAATCCCCGTAGGGATATTTTTTATTTTGCATATACTACAAACTACAGAGAAATATAAGGGAGGGACTACAACTAGGGATAAAGAAAAGCAAACCACACTAGACTAAAACCCCAAGAGAAGGAGATCTTTTCACTGTTAGTAAATATGTTAGTACCATTAGTTTTATTATCACAATATACTTGTTGAGTTCTTGCTTATAACAATTCGCTTCTTGTATGTTATTTTGTTAGTTGTTATAAGAGAAGTCTCCGATCATCTTCTTATTCTTTGCTTCAAAAGGCCATTTTCCAAGTCCTTCTGCCTTTACTTCGGCTTTCTGACTCTAAAATCGTATACCACTCTGGCAGGTCCTGCATCCTTTTCTGCCGCAGAATCCTCTTCCGTCCCCGAGGTAGCAGAGTCACTCGACTTCGATTCTCCCTCTTTAGACTCATCATCTGTCCCCAGCTGACGTTTCAAAAATTCTTTAGCTTTAAAAGTGGAGTCTATCTTCTCCCTTCTATCGTTGATCTTAAAGATGACACCTTCCGGAACCGCCCATCTGTACGATATTCCATTAGTTTGAAGAAAAGAAATTAATTCCTTGTAATTTTTCCTCTTTTGTCTAATTTCAAATGGAATGTCCTTTAAAGTTTTAATGGTTACATTTCCCATTTTCAGTGGAGTTGCTGATGTTGCTTTTAAAATGGCATCTCTGGTTTGTCTTCTTGAAAACTTGACCACTATTTCTCCAGGTAGGCTATTTTTTTAATATAGTTGGAGTAAGCCCTATAGGCTGTCTCCATTTCGTTTACCAGTTCATCCGCTGTTAAGCCTACTACTGGAGCAATGATTTCACTGAGCACCCTCTTCAAGTCTTCCCGATCCGTTTCAGGAACCCACTGAAACCTGAGAATCATGTTAGCTTTTTCCATCTGAAGCTGCAAGACTCGATTCTCTTGGAATTCCGCTTCATTTCCACCTCTCCCATCCTTTTCTTCAACTTCTTACTGTGGTGTCAATCTCTTTAATTTTCTCGTTTGCCTGCTCCAGTTTTTTCTCCGTCTGCAAAGTTTTTATTCATCCCAGTCAATTGCTGGTTAATACCATCGAATTGTTCCATCACCGGCTTGAGCATATCCACCAGGAGTTTGAGGACATCTGCTCCCTCTTCCGGTCTCGGACTCTGCCCGCCCGGTTTCGTTTTAAACTTTCTCTGCTGGGCCGCCATCTTTCCCATTTTGTTTACAGTTTCTGCCACTTCCCCACAACTCGGAAAACTCGCCAAACGACTTTGCAATTCAGATAAGTCTCTCAAAACACTTTCAGTTTACTTCCTCCCCCTCCCCCTTCATGTCTTAACCGCTCATTCACAAAAGAGCAATCTCTTGTTTCCAATTGCGGGGTGGGGGGGGGAATCGCTTTTCAAACTACTCCATTTTTATTCACAACTCACGTTCATTGATTGGCCAGGTTATCTGACCACGCTCGGTTTTACGCCATTCCGCTTGATCTCCAGAGCTTGTCCCAGTCAGTCCAGCTTATGCCCGAAGGCCACTCAGCGACTGGACCATCGGGGCGGAGGGGAGCCTCAATTCTCTGGCATTGCGCCATCGAAGAGGCTACCCCTCAAAAGCCCCTTGGCCTGGAGCCTATCGCAAAGGCTCCACGGGGGTGTCACTTGAGGTGACACCCCTCCAGACCACTGGTGTGCAATTCACCCTCCTCCGTTGTGAGGAGAGCATCCGCCATCGCTGTTCCGTCGACCGGAAGTCCCCAGTGTATAAACTCTCGAGAGACCCTGGAAACCTCGTTGGCTTTTGAGGTGCTCCTGGACTCGAATGTTGCTTTTCTGCTGCAGAGCAACATGGCTATCCACCTGAATGGACTTTTCAAGTTAAGTTTTCCAGAAACAGTGTGGTGTAGGGGTCAGAACCGCACTTCCTAAATTTATGGCAGCTGAGGTACACTTTTTTTTTTTCCCCCGCAGAGTGGATGGAGCAAGCCCCTGTTCCATCTCCCAATTCCAAAAATCCATTTAATATATAGTCCTCAGATAGGGGACATATCAGATATTAAACTGATAAGAACAGACACTACACTTGATCTTAGCCATAAGGCCGAGAAGCGATAGGTACACTTTTTTTAATTAAAATGGAGTTACCCTTCACTCTTAGACCTCTAAGAGCAAGAACCGCCTGCCCTTGTAGGAGTCCACCATCCTTGTTGGTTCTGCATGTTGCTATAAACCAAGCCAGTTCCACCTAAGGTGGAGATGTGGTAGAATTGCTTTTCCCCTGCTGAGGATGACTGGAAGCAGCAAGGCTAGAGCAGTGAGGGGGATACAGATGCAGCCAGCAGCAGGAATCCTCCTATATTTGCCATGAAGTTTGACGGGTAGTTATCAGTAGCAATATAAAGTTGTTGTGAAGGTGAATTGGAGATGGAGGGTCCCTCATGTACTATCCTAAACTCTTTAGGGGAATAAAAAGTATGATTTCTTTTAAAATGTTGTAAAATGTGTCTGAGGCGCCATTATCAGTTTTCCTTCAGCATCTTTCCCAGTTTTGACATTGTTGCTATGGCAGCTGTAATTTTCGCGGTGCTGGATGCTTGCTTGCCAGCTGCGTGAGGGTGGGCCTTCTCTGATTCAGGCTGTGGTAGGAATCCCTGTTAAAGAGCGTGGGCAGGAACAAGCAAAACTGACTTCAGGTGTGTGAACTTGTCGATGCAGTAATGTATTGGATCAGCCTGGGGCTTGGATTGATCTCTCTGTCTCTTGGCCCTGTAGGAAAGATACCCAAACAGCATGTTCAACGAGGTGTATGGAAAAAACCTCAATGCCAGCACAAAACCAGACGTCACTCCATCAGTGGCTCACCAGGAGACTTCACTCTACTCTCTCTTTGAAGGGACGCCATGGTCTCCATCTCTTCCAGCCAGCTCAGGTAATGCTTATATACCAGCCACACGGTGGCTTGATTCCGGCATTATACCAAACAGTGGCTAGCACTAACCATAATTCAGAACCTGCACTATGGTTTGAACATTTAAGCATACAACAGATATACGTCTCTGATATGGACGTATATGTTACCAGCAGAATGTCCCTGTTTGCTTTGGCGGCAAAAAAGATAAGATTAAGGTTAGGATTCAGCGCAAGTTAGTGAAGGGATAACTTAATGTGATGTATAAGGATTGTGTTTGTATTTATGCTTTGTTATGGTCAATGGCTAATACAATTAACTTGATGATGATGATGATGATGATGATGATAAACAACATAGCTTAGACCGGCTTGCCTGTTTTAATTTTCCATCTCCTCAGCATTCCTGTGTCTGTGATTTGTTAATTGAGACAGCAACTTGACTTGATGTCTGAATTGGCCATCGGAGGCAGAGTTGGATCCTGTTCTAATAGCGGTGGCGCTTTCCTCCCGTGCAAGGAATCTTCCCCTGTCTTGTGCCTCTTGCACCAGAGGAAAGTGCCACCGCTAGGAGAAGGGGTCTGCAAGATCCAGCTCGTTGACTTGGTTTTATACAAGTTTTAAGTTCTTTATGGTCTCTGTACATATGAGACTAGGATCTGCGAGACTGCGCTACGGATTCCCACTCAGCCGTGAAGCTTGCTAGGTAACTTTGGGGCCAGGGACCTCTCAGGCACAGGATTACCTACCTCTTACCAAACAGTCTCCAGAAAGCTCCCTTCGCATCCCTGTTCCTCAAGCTGTAGATCAGGGGGTTGAGCGCAAACTTGTGCTTGTGCCCCCCCCCCCCCACCAATATTCAAAAAGAAGCAAAAGCCTGCATGTTGCGCCCCTCTCGTCCGATAATACCACATGTGGGCAAGGCGGGTGCCATCACATTCGCTTTTATCTTGGCTGCTGTCAGAGCAGCGTGGTAGAGAGTTTTCTTTGTAGAGTCTTCTCTCTTGAACAAATTCTAGGCCTTTTAAAAAAAAATGGATCCCCATTTTTCATTAGTGTCCTTTCTTGTTAGCAGGGATCTCTCTCTCTCCCCAGCCCCTTCCTCCAGCTCCATTCTCCATGTTCTGGAGTCTCATGGGAGCAACAGTTAAGCACTAACTACAGACAGATGGGATTTCTGCCTCAGAGTACCGTACCAGTCCAGTCTTAATAACTCCACTACGCCAGACATGCCAGCTGCCTCCTTATTTATCTGGGACAAACCTTGATCCATGTGACGGTCACCTCCAAATTGGACTACTGTAATTCGCTCTATGTAGGGCTATCCTTGAAAACACTTTGGAGACTGCAGGTAGTCCAGAACAGGAGTGTGCAAAAAAATCATTTTTTGGAGGGTTTGGGTATATTGAACCTGAAAAATATCGGTATTCCTAAAGTCCAAATATTGTATGGTATGGTATGATTTTGGGTTTCTTTTTGGATTTCTGAATTTTTCGGGCCCATTATTCCATATGGGGAATGGCTGGGGGAGTTGAGAAAAAATTATGTATAGAGTTTTCACTGTCAATTACAAAAAAAGATAAAGTTATAATCCAAGAGCCTTTAATTAAATTGCAAATTCCAAGTATTTTAAAAAGTGCATCACAAAACAACAATCTGTAACTAGCTGTTCTCTGTATGGCTCCTATAGTATCTGCAATTTATGCATGTTCTGCTCTCTTCAGTCATGCCAGTGCTGGTTCCTCAACCCACTTCTTAGGTTCAATCTGTTCATAGTGCAGAGACGTCACTGTAGTCTATTTTCAGTAGTTTCAGTACTTTTTGCACACTGTCCTTGGAATGTGCTGTTCCCTTGATGATCAGAGTGTAGCATCCATTTCCAAAAGAGAAATTAACAACTCCAAATCTCTCTGGTGGGCTGTCTTGTCCTCTGTGCATGCTGGTCATCCAAGTTTGACACTGCATTCTTCACCAGCAAATTGGCCACATTATCACCTTGAACCTGGGACCTTTTAGTGGTGGTTATACACAAGATAATTTTCAAGATCGTTGCCACTGAGCAACCTGCAACTATTGTTCAATTGGTTGTTTGCAATGACGTACAACCCCAGCCTTTTCCCCTGCTGCAGCTGTCTTACTTGCTGCTGGGTGATCTACAAGGAGAATTGAGCAGGAGAGTGCTGGCTTTGCCTTTCAAGGCAATGCACATCGGGTACAGTTTTTCTCCTTGATGGGAGAGACTACATGTGCCAAGTTGTAGATTTTAGCTCTACAAAATTCTGAATGTTGCTCTGTGCGAGTGAATGCACAGATGAACATCCACTACAATCACCCTGGATTCCCCCCCCCCCCCCCAGGTTTTCCCCCCCCCCCCCCAATTTCTTATTTAGCCCACCAGGACCAATTCATAAAAAGTGTTGCCAAGAGAGAACAAGATCAGTAGCTGTTCTCTTATCCTTTTTAGGTATTTCAGTTGTTTTCACTTAGTCCCGCTAAACTTTTGTTCGATAGATCATTCAACACCAGCTAGCCAGTCGCCTCACTCATCGAACCCTAGCAGTTTGCCAAGCTCTCCTCCAACACACAACCACAACTCTGTTCCATTCTCCAACTTTGGGCCCATTGGAACGCCGGACAACAGAGATCGGAGGGTGGCAGATCGGTGGAAGACGGATAAGCCAGGTGGGTGGGGAGGTTCCAGTACAAGGTGTGGCTTCAGTGTCTTGCTAAATCATTGACTTTAACATTCTTGGCTAGGACCTGTCTCTTTAATTCCTACTGCATTGAATCAATGTCACGTATTCTCCCTGATTGTTACTTATATGCAGACCTGCGTGTTAAACATTTAAACTTGTTTTTAGCTGGAATGTCGGGCCTTTCTGATCATATCAAGGTTTATCGTCTCCTGAACTATTGCTTGCCGGCAGTTACTGAGAAGGTAGCCCTGTTTTTACAGTCCATCAGGAAATGTTACAGTATTAATTTTCTTTTTAAAATGCCACATAAACGTCTACATAGCTGGCTTTGTACCCCTCTCTGTTCAACTGCTGTTTGTAGTATCTGTACATGCCAATAAAGGTGACTGACTGACTGACTGACTTTGTTAACATTCCTCTTTCAGCAATGGGAGGATTTGGCCTGGACTATCTTCCGGCAACATCTTCCTCTTCAGAGAGTAGCTGGCACCCATCCAGCACTCCCAGTGGCACCTGGGCAGCCCATGGCCCAGCAATAGAGGATTCGTCGGCCGTGCTCATGGAAAGCCTGAAGGTAGGACGTGTCGCAGTAGGACAACAAGGCATTATGAGCTTCACTTTGGGGGCGGAGAGTTAGTTCAGCTGTCCATCATTGCTTAAGGCGAACCACGTGCTGTTTCCTCAGGGCAACACTCTGGATTCTTAGGCTTTGGACTATGATTGCAGACCAGTCTGATCAAATATCCTCAAAGCTTAGACGCAGATCTAGATCATCGAACTATTCAAAATAAGTTACTGGTTTCCGGATCATTGGCATATAGGCAAACTACTGTGATCAGAGCATTTATACTCTCATCGTTTTGTTTTTATTTACAATTTCAGTTTATATACCACCCTTCCCTGAGTTCACAGGGCTCAGGGCTGTTGACAATGAAAAATACAATATAACAAAAAACACAATATCAAACCAAGAATAAAACAGTTAAGTTACAGTTAAAAGAACATCAAATGGTGCCAAAGAAGATAACAGTATGTATTACTGTCCCGCAAGTGGGAGAAAGCAAGGTGGTGGTCGGGGTAGTGTCAGATAAGATGGTACCCATCGCTGTCCTCAACCAAAAGCCTGACAGATGCCCTGTGGAACTAACTTCATTGTGGCTTCTGGGCAAGATTTCTTTCGGAAGAGTGCTTGCCCTGTTTAGCAGCTGATTTTATTATCCTCTTTTGAGCTGAGCAGCATCTCTGAAGGAACGATAGTGTTAGCCCAGCCCATGCAAGCCACCGCACAGTCCGCGGGATCTTTATTTATTTATATTATTTATAGACCGTCCCACCCTATGGTAGGGCTCAGGGCGGTGAACAGCATCTCAGTAAATAGTTTTACAGATCCGATTAAGAACAATTATCTGCACTGCAGGCTTTCTTGTCCTTACATTCGAGCCTTTTGGGAACAGGTCCTTGCACAAATCCAAAACGTAACTGGGATTGAAATTCTTCCTACTCCGGACCCCCTCTTTCTTAATGGATGGAAACTTGATTTTTGTGCCCCTTTTTCCAATCTGAAGCCCTCTCTGTCCTTTCGTTTGCTGCAAAATCAGCTATAGCTTTATGATGGAAAGATAACACACTACCAGACCTGTCACTCTGGCACAAAACGTTATGGGACCTTTATATCATGGCCAAAATCACTGACAACTTCATCTAACTTTGTGGTGACTTGGCTCCCTGTTATGGGATACCTAGCAGAACATGCTGATGTTCCTGCTGTAACTGATACACTTTGTTTGTGGTAGTTTTGAAAGATATTTAAGGTACAGTTTGGTGTAGTGGTTAAGTGCGTGAACTCTAATCTGGGAGATCCGGGTTTGATTCCCCACTCCTCCACTTGCACCTGGCAGGATGACCTTAGGCAAGCCATAGTTCTGGCACAGCTGTTCTTGAAAAAGAGCAGTTTCTGTCAAGAGCGCTCTCAGACCCGCCTACCTCACAGGGTGTCTGTTGTGGGGAGGGGAAGGGAAAGGAGTTTGTAAGCCGCTCTGAGGCACCTTTGGTTAGTGAAGGGCGGGGTATAAATCCAATCTCCTCCTCCTCCTCCTCCTCTTCTTCTCCTTCCTTCCTCCTCCTCCTCCCTCCTCCTCCTCTTCCTCCTCCTCTTCCAGAGCAGTGGAGAGCAATTCTTCTACCTTGAGTACACGGTTTAAAATGGTGAAAAGGAAAACAGGGCAAATATGATTTACTTACTGTGGGTTGTATATTTCTACAGTAGCATTTATATACTCTAGTTATCTTACAGGTTATAGATGTATCTTTGTTATTGTACTATATTACATTATACCATCTTGTTATGTTTTTTTTCTTTTTTGAGAAAATGCAATAAAATATTAACTTAAAAAAACAATTAAAAATAGTAGAATAGTAACAATTCCAAGTCTATTCAGATGACGGTTAAGAACCAATTGTATCCCACCCCCGTAGGAGAGAGGAGAAATTGAAGAGACTGTTGTTGTCCTCAACCATCGGCCTGGTGGAACATCTCTATCTTGCAGGCCCTGCAGAACTGCACTCGGTCCTGCATGGGCATGAAGGCCATTAGGCAGAGAGTTCCACCAGGCCGGCACCAGGGCCAAAAAGGCCCTGGCTCTGTTTGAGGACAGGTGGATATCTTTTGGACCAGGGATCACTAGGAAGTTCTCCCCAGAGCGAGATGTAAAGGTGGGTGGGTGATTCAAAGTAATCAAAGAGGAGATTTGAGTAGGGGCTTCCGGTTTGGCTTCCGCGAATGGCGGACGCAACCTCGGGGCGCTCCCGAGGGCGTCTTCACCCGCCCGCGACCGAGGGGGGAATCCGCGCAAGCGGAGACCCGGACGAGCCCCAGAGGGGCTCCGACTCAGGGCGTGCGAGTGGAAAAGCCTCTTTCTCGACCGGAAGGTCGGAAATTGAGGCTCCACTCATGCCCCAATGAACCTCACCGCGCCCGCGGCCCCGCACGGGGCATAGCGGAGCCGCCAGACGCCACCTGAGTGATGAAGCGAAAATGCGAATGAAAAGAAAAGGAGCGGCTGAAATTGTGAGTTGTCAATCGTTACGATGAAAAGAAGTTAAACGCGTTTCTTCCCCCCCCCCCA